AAAAACCCCCCCCCCCCCCCCCCCCCCCCTTGTGTGGCCACTGCAGTCATTTTTTATTGTCACCCCCCTCTGATCCGTGAGGAGGGTACTCAGCAGCATACCTTACCCCACTGGGTGAACCTTTCTCTGCCAGCATCCATCACCAAGATGGCCACCAGCAGGTGAACACGCATGACATCATCACATGCATGCGTGACTATGTCATGTGTGCGTGATGACGTCACCCGCATGTGAAATGACGTCACAGCGGGGTGTCCCCTGGTTGCCGCTCAGAGTGACACCACACCTCGGGACGTCCCTGAGTCAGATACACCAATTGTGCAGACTATGCAGATGCGCAGGGGCCCTCTAAGACGTATGAGTCCATTTATACTAGATGTGGGTCAGATGGCTGCTGAATCCCCTGCCACTGTTACATATAGCTGGACATGGCTCGGTTCTATCTGGCTGTCAATGGATACACAGTGAATACGTGATTTTACTTGGCCAGTTGCTGACTGAGGAGCCAGAATTGGTTTTGCACAGAAACCATTTGATGAATCTGTACACCGCTAGAGCAGGCCAAACCCTTCTTGAATTTCAGCCCAGTTCTGCTGAAAGTTTGAGCAGTGTGTGGCCCCGCCGGCATCCCTCTGTTCAGTAAAAGTCACATTTTCAAACTTGTTTCTTTGACCTGTGTGGGAAAAACACGGATTCACTTCAAGGTTGCCCTTAGATGACAGAAAAAGGTGACAAAGCAACATTTATGGTGCAGCACACGACAGCCCTAAAGGAGCATTCATGGAGAACAGAACGATGGGATTAGAGTACTTGGCGTATCTTGTTCTCTATGGTGGCAGGAGACCCAGTGGTGGTCAACTTACTTAGAGTGACACTAAACTCAGGATTTCAATCTTACAAATACATTCAACTACCTGAACTATTAACAGAAATGTATCTGATTTGTGTATCACTCGGCTGCAGATCCTCAAATCATCTCTGAATTGGTGCTGACACTGTCCTTCCTTCTGGAGGGGGGCTACTTTTGTTCCCCATGGTCCCTGTGTGTGTTGCAAAGTAATCACCGCTCCAAGGTCGCTCCCTTGATGGACTACAATCTCAGTACAAATCAGTAAACTAAACATGAGACTGTAGTCCATCCCGGGAGGGAGCTTGGATCGGTGACTACTTTACAGCACACACAGGGACCATGTATCATGCCCGCAGTCTTTGACCATCTCTCTTATCGTGCCTTTAGTCTCTAATCATCTCTTGCACCATGTCTGCAATACCTGACCATCTCCTATTGTATGTCTGCAGCCTCTGATCATCCCTTGTATAATGTCTGCAGTCTGTGACCATCTCCTGTGGCACGTTTGCAGTCTCTGATCATCCTTTGTATCATGCCTACAGTCTCTGATCATCCCCTGTTGTATGTTTGCAGTCTCTGATCATCCCTTGTATCATGTCCGCAGTCTCTGACCATCTCCTGTTGCATGTTTCCAGTCTCTGATTATCCCTTGTATCATGTCTGAACAGGGGCATCCCGAGGCCGGGTGTCACCGACTTTTTAGAGGGGGTGACACCAAAATGACTGTCATTTTGGTGTCACCCCTGCAATGGTGGCACCCGCGTGTGGGCCGCACCCCCCTTGTGATGCCACTGTCTGAAGTATCTGACCATCTTTTGTATCATCCCTGTAGCCTTTAATCATCTCTTGCAGCATGACTGCAAAATCTGACTGTCTCCTGTTGCATGTCTGCAGTCTCTAATCATCTCTTTTTGCCTGTCTTTAGTCTCTGGCCATCTCCTCTTGCATGTCTGCAGTCTCTGACCATCTTTTGTATCATTCTTGTAGCCTCTAATCACCTCTTGTATCATGTCTGCAATACCTGACTATCTCCTGTTGCATGTCTGCAAGTCTCTGATCATCTCTAGTTGCCTGTCTTCAGTCTCTGACAGCTTCCTGTTGCATTACATTCACTGAGTATTCTGTGTGGCCCTTTGGTGATCTCAGGGGCCACACCTGAGGACCCCTATATCTAAGTTGACCTCCCCTGGTCTACAGCCAGCCTTAGTGAATGAGTGGAGGGGCATTAATACACAGTTACTTTGCCTTGCACTACCCTGAGAGCTCCATTACTATGACATCCAGGGCAAAGACAATGGTGGTCTCGTAGATCTGGAAAGAATTGTCAGTGTTGGAGTATTACCGCAGTGCTGATGACTCACACTGGTCATAAGTGCAAAGTGTTAACCCCTTCCACACCCCACCGGAACCTCAGTGACATTCAGCAGAGTGCGGAACAGTGCAGACATCGTACCTCCTTCCTAACAGGACAGAGCCTGCAGGGCGCAGAGGGTTAACGAAGGGGCGTGTCCACGGAGGTTGTATATTCATGAAAGGGGGCGTGGTTTGCGGGGGTACTCCAGCGCTCGCACTGTGACTATTCATGAGGGGGCGGGGCCATGGCGCTCGGCTCTTTCTGCAGCTGACAGCTGGAGAGTCACCGGGAGACACAGGCAGGCAGCGCTGAGGAGGCACCGACTGCAAGCACGGGAGACCTACTCATCATGTATTGGGAGAGATTAGGGCCTGCTGAGCCCAGCTGACAGAGGACACTGCACACCATTCCTACCCAGGAACCCAAGGCTCCCCCTCTTTGTGACACCCCCCCAGCATCAGCACCCAGCTTGTCTTGCTGCCTCTGACACCCCATTACTAAACATATGCTGAGCCCTCTTTCCCTCCCCACTTTACATTCATGCCCCATTTACTAATATCTATGCACCCCCTTTAAATTGATCCCCCCACTTCTCCTTTCTCTAAATCACTGATCCCTATTATTTTATGATCCCTATATTCCCTTTCCAAAGTTCCAGCCATAACAGTTTGCTCTAAAGCCATCTGTGCATTTTTTTCGCTTCTTGCTCCAAGAAAGTTAAAAAGTTCTGTCCAAAAATTTTTTTAAAATT